ATAATTCTCTAGTCTTATTTATGAAGATTCTGTTTATTTTTAAAATAGCCACTGGCTCTAGATTCCCAGAACTGATTTTCTTAGAGTAGCCATTTGTACTTAAAGGTAGAGCCCTGAGCAATATTATTCTTCATTTAAAATCAAGAACTTGACTTTAGGAGGAAGCATGGTATATTTATATAGCATCATCAATGCATAGAAAATATTCACTGCATGTATCTAAAGACAGATAAAGCTTCAATTGTTTAAATGTTCTCACTTAACAGATACTAAGGCATATTGACCTTCTATCTAGCTTAATTTTTTAAAAAGCATGTTACCTACTTTGATTTGTGAGGCATTTTAGTAAGTACAGAGCTAATGCTGTCTTCCTAGTATTACCCCCTTGTCTTAGGGTAAAATTAACTTTTGCAAAGTTTTGCAGACTCTGCCATCTCTCAAAATGTGCATTTTCTCTATAATCACTGTAAACTTCTGTTCCTCTCCATCAATCACACCAGTCTCTACCAGTACCACACAAAAAGAAGCTGTAAAAGCTAAGGGCAATGTTACTGCTTACAGATGCTTACAGTTAAATACAACATTTGTGTGAGGGCCAACCAACTATTGTCACAGCTATGTGGGTTTGGTTTGGTTTGTTGGGTTGTTTTGTTTTTGTATGGGGGAGATCACAATCCCATTGTCTTTTCCTGGTATTTAGACCACTTGGATAACTGGCAACTCAAATTGGAACTCTTAGCAAAGCAGCTAAAGCCTTGCCTGAGGGGAAGAAGATAAGGGAGGGGTAATTTGAATTTGTAAAAATAGTTAATATCAAGAAAAGAACACTTAGAAAGTTGATTTTACAGGCATGCTGTCTGGAATCTGCAAATTTTCTATCGAGGATGCTGACTCACTAACTCTCTGAAGAATCCTAAAACATTGGAGTCTTTTATGTCAGTAAAAATGCGTAGTCTAGGACTGTTTTTAAGATTCAATATGCATATCAGCAAAAGTCCCAAACAACTATCAACTCTCTACCTCTTCCCCCAAAAGATGTATCTATTATTAAATAAGTCATGGGGTTTTAAAAGCTATACTCAATTTTAAATCCCAAATTAAAATAATTATAGAACAGATTAAAATAAATTTGTGTTGTGTCAATGCAGTAGTCTATCTATATGGTTGTACCTATATCTGTGCTATAAAATATTTATCTTTTAAATTAGGAAGTGTGGGAAGCACAGAAGACTGAGGGAGGTGGTATACATTTCCATGACTTATTATAGAAAGTAAAAAGCCAGAACTTGTCTACTTATTTTTCTGCCTTTTTAATGACTATTGTTGGTGAAAAAGGGAAAGTACTCAGAATCAACTGATAAACATTTTAACTACATTTGGGTAGCCATTTTGGGTACACTAAACTATAAATTCTAAAGTTAACCTTTTTCAAAGATAAGAGTGGGCTTTGGTTTTAGTTTTTGTTTTTCTGCGGTTTTTTTGTTTGTTTGTTTGATCACAGAAAAGAATGTGATTTCAAAATTTTCTTAACGTTATTGTAAAGGAAAATAGTATTTTGTAAAAAGGGGGTGGGGGAGTGAGGCATTCCTGGGTAGCAAAGCCAAGGAGGGAGCAAACCCTCGAGGTGGTTGTAAACTCTACCTGCTGAGAACCGGGGTCTCAGCTGTCCATTAACAAATTAAAAGCAGAAAGACTGAAACTCGGATTGGAGAAGAGAAGGGAGTCCACGCCTCAAGCAGTCTTTTTCTCTTTGTTTTTAAATGCTACTGCAGTGTTGTTTCTCGCTGTCTGAAAGGACCACAGCGACTAAAACCCTGATTGTCATCCTCAGTAGGAGAACAGGTTTCCAATTTCATCAGCTGCTACAAAGTGTGTGTGTGTATGTGTGTGTGTATGTGTATGCGCGTGCGGTAGTTTAAAATACTAGCGAAAATGTGGCCTTTCCAGGACAGTACTTTTTCTGGTAAACAAAATGCCAATTATTTCGCCCACAATTTTGACTATATTTTGTTCCTGGCTGGCCCGCCCATCTTTTAACTAACCCATCCGCTTTAGATACTCTTCCAGGTGGATTCACTCAGACTGGAGAAGGAATCTCTACGACCTTGAGGAACTCAGAAGTCCCCATCTGATTAACGTGATGGAGCATGCATACAGCTTATGGGACTGAGCCATCGGGTATTAGTGTGAATTGCTCCTTCAAGGACACGGATACTAGTCCTACTGCTTTGGTCATCTGAAGGAGGTAGTCTGGGCCTTTTTAGAGTCTTCTCCTGGGGGAAAATGGGGAAAGGAGAAATGGAGCAAAGAGAGCATATGGGCCACCAGCAACCTCCTCAACTTAACTCTGACCTACCCATCCCTATTAAAGCCACCCTCCCTCCGCTTACAATCCTAGAAGATGGTGTGCGAGACCCAAAACAAGAGAGACCCAAAACAAGAGAGATTTAGCGGGTGGTTCCCCCTGGAGTCCCAGGCTGGGAGTAGGGAAGAGGTTTTTGCTTGCCCCAGGGCAGATGATAAGGGGGAAACCGGCCTGGCCAAGCGCTCTCTCTCTCCCCAGACCCGAAAGTCTTGCAGCAAGTTCACAAAGGAACCCCCTCCCTGGTTGGCACCTCTCCGCGGAGCGTGAAGAGTTCAAGGCAGAGAGTCAAAGCCAAGGTCCCAAGAAACGTAGAAGTAGACAAGAGATTTCAAGCTGGAAAGGCGAAGGGGGATTGGGCGGCTGGGCCTAGGTCCCTCGCGACCCCTTTCCAAAACCTGAGCCACTTTCGCTGGGCCCAAAGCATAGTGCTAAGAACCAGGGAGGGTTCACACCTGCAGCTGGGCGCAGGAAGGAGCGCGCTGCCTGGACGGCTTTATATACTACTACCAGATTGGCTCCAACCCTGCGGTGGAGTGTCCTGTGCCCCTCACATGCCTCGGCCAGAACCTAGCTCCCTGACTCAAGAGGGCTACTGAGACTTGGACCTGGAAGATATCCCTGGGCCGCCCAAGACGACGACAACAGTTGCGTTGTCCCACGAAGCTCAGGCCATGGCCTCCTCCCTTGTCTGGCCCTGAAATCAGCCTGGCACGGTCTGCTTTCAGAGACTCCGCGGACCTCACTAGATGCTGCACCTAGGGCTGCGCTATGATCCGGGTTCTGAGATGTGCTGAAGAGGAGGCACTGCCCTGGCGGGTGCTGAAAATAATGACACCCGCACTGCCGGAGCCTCAGAAGAGCAGAATGGCAAGAATGGTCTCCGCACTGTGCTGGCGACAGAAGTTCCCCAGTTCTCTGCAGCCGTGGAAAAGAGGAGCAGATTCCCAATCTGGAGTCCTGCCTGCAGGCTTTGCCAAAGACCTTCAGGCAGGCGTGGGGAGGGCAGTTAGCAAGTGAAGCCCCCGCTAGCCACTCACCCGCTCAGCCGCTGCGGAGCAGAGGAAGCACAGTTCAGCTCGGGTTTGGTGCCAGGTGTTCGGCTGGCCCTAGGCGTGCGGGGGAGAACTGTGTGACTAGGATCCGTGTTCAGCAAACAGAGCTCCCCTATAAGCGCCACCCTACTGTTCTTTCCTGGAAGCTTCTATTCCAGTTCGGAGTCAAGACTGAGCTGTCCTCGCCTAGAGAATCGGTTTCGAGAACGGCGGTGCCCAACCAGGAGATGCCTTTCTTTCTCCCTGTAGCTCAAGGGGTTCTTAAGTCCCTATCTGCTAAGCCAAAAACTCGGGAACTGCAGGCCAAATCCCTTGGCCTCTGAGAATTTAGGAAGCTTCATTCTCAGCCAAGAGGTCAAAGTGAGCAGGCAGCCAGGACCCGAGCAATCTTGTGCTGAGATTTAAGAAGAAAACAAAAACAAAATTCGTCCGAGTATTTGGTTGTTTTTTTTTTTTTCATCTCACTTGGCAAAATGCTGTAAGGTTTCATTCTAAAAACACGTTATTTATAAGCCGTTGTCCATTGCTTTTGGCTATCTTTATGAGATCTGTAGAGGAGAATCGAAAAGTGGCTCTTGATTCAGTTAAACTTTGACGCCGAGAAGGTAAATTGGAGGTCCCTTAACAGCTGGTTCTCGAAGATTTCCTCGAGGGAAAAAAAATATGGTTAGTTCCCCTAATGATAGCTCTAAAATGATTGCCAAGAAAACTCAGAGCAATATCCAGCTTTCTCGCCTTCTCTCGCTTGTCCCTCTTTTTAGCCAGACTGAGCCGAGGATGGCGGAAAGAGGCATGTTGTGCAATTTCTTATTAAACACATCTGGAATATACGCGCTCGGGATCGAGTGCCAGGGATTTTACAAAGAGTTTATGGCTGTGACAGAAAATTGTCCTTTTAACGAGTTTACAAGCAGTAATCACGGGGGCTTTTACAGGACCGGCCTTCCGTGCTCCTCGCCAGATCTGTAGACATTTCCAAGATTCACCAACCAAAGGAGCAGGAAGTGGGCCGGCGCACCCTGGGAGACAGAACTTCCACGAGTCTAAAATTATGCCAGGGGAAGCTGGAAGAGTGGGGGGTAGTCATCGAAGTAGGAAGAGAGGGCATGTAAGAAATTAAAGTAATTGGCCCTTCCTTATTTTCCAGAGAGATTTCCGCGGCATCTTTTGAAGCCTGTCAGGGTCAATGAAAGCTATCTTTGTGCTGGGTGTTTGTTTTGGGGAGTGAATGTGAAGAATGTGAGGAGATTCCCTGTGAGAGCCCCTCCTGCAGAGGGTGGCATTTCTCCGTGGCCCAAGACGTGGAGAATAAACACCCTCGTGACTTAAATAAACACCGATTTAATGATCCAAAACACTAACAAGGGAGATCGGGGACCCTGAGCTCCCAACCCAAATGATGGTCTCTGAGCGGCTGTGTGTACATCTGTCCATCACTGAGGGGAAAAATGACTACAGTTAAAGTACAGTACCACTTCTTCCTTAAACTCAAAACAATTGGACAGTTTAAAAAAAAAATCTCATAAGAAGGCCTTAATTTCCTCCACATACTTCAGTCTCTTAGATCACAACAGAAACATTAATAAAGAATAAGAAAAGAATATATTAATGGTGACACTTATGGATGGGAAAAATAAAAATTATGAAAACGTCATGTCAGAAAACAAATAGACTCTCTCTGGGGAACAATATTTTACAAAGCACAAACCAGCCGATCCTGTTATCCTGAGTCGAATTTTAATAAATAATGCCACTTGTTTCACTAATTTTAAAAGCTAAATACAGAAGATACATCATTTTGCTCCAGGCAAAAATAACATGGAGCCTACATGATTACTGGGATTTTTCTGGACACTATCCGGCAGCACTGTAAAAGAGTTCCTGTCCTGCTGGTCTGCTTTCTGTTTGTACAGATTAATTCACAATGCTTAAATCCTTGTTCAAGTTCCTTTCCCCCACCCCAAGCAGATAAATTATTTTACTTTCACAGTCTTACCATAAACTTATTAACACAAAAGAGCTGAGTTAACATATGAATGCTGAGAAGAAGAGCTCGTGGTAACAAAATTGTGTTATCTAATAATAATAAAAAATAAATACCCTAAGGCTAAATTCACTATCTGTCATATAATTAACCCAGTCCTTACTCTTGGTTCAGGTGAAAGCCTTCAAAGTGCCCTGCAATTCATAACCACTATTAAGTAAAAAAGGAAGAAAACTTTAAAAAAAAAAAAATAGGGCCCAAAGACACTACTCACCTTTCAGAAACAGAATCATACTCCTGGTGTTCTACTGAATTTTAATTTAGACTGGTTTAGGTACAATAGAAAAGAAACCTGAAAACACATGCTGTTTTAGTAACAAATACCAGGTTGCCAGATTTGTTGGCATACTTTTGCAAGCTAGAAACTACGAACAGGAGAAACCCCTTAACAGGAGTAGGAGACAGATATGAAAGCTTTGTGGGCATGAGAAGTAATGGCATTCAGGAAAGTGTTTTTCACATTGGTACATTTTTAGTTTGTCATTAAAAAAAAACCCAAGAAAACAAACAACAACCAAAAAAACCTACTAAATTTGACAAAAATAGTTATATTACTAATGGTCACTTCTATTTCTAACTGCTTCACATAGAGAGCATTAAGACATTTAGGCACTTGTTTTCTCCCTAATACTGTTCTTTTTATTTTACTCTACATAAAATTATTTAACACCAAATATGAAAAATGTAAACTTAATTTTCCCATCAAAAAATTATAAGATTTTATTTTTTCCTATTCACCTTAAGAATGCAACCAGTTCCTCCCAGGCTGGAGGCTGTTATTTTCACTACTATTTTGATCTCTCTTTCTCTCTCTCTCTCTCTCCTTTTCTCTTTTTCTTTTTTCTTTTCCTCTTCCCCTCAAATTACTCCATAAATAAATTAAAAGAAAATACTTAAAATCCAGTTGATTTATAATTACCATTAATTAGAAAAGGAAAAACAAAAAGCAAGTCTATTGAAGTGGGTGCATAGGTTTCCAAATCCAAGACTGGGTGCTTTTGTTTGTTTGGGTTTTTTTTCCTGATTCTGCACTGGGAGGGGAAATGCACCAGGGGAAAGAGAGAGAAGAGGGAGGCTGTTTGAGATGGATGTTGGTTTTGATTTTTAAAAAGACATTGTGAATGTCCACCATTCCTTTATGCGCAAAGAATCCCAGAAACAAGCTGCAAAAATGTTCCTGATTTCTATTTACAAGTGTCCCTAGTTGCTGCAATTGGTTGCTGCTCCAGCCATCCCTTTGAGGCCCCAATCCCATCCCACTTAGGACCCCAAGTCCACCAAACTGGAGGTAAGGGGGCCAAGCAGAGAGTCCTGGAGCTGATGCTGATGGGCCTGCAGGCCATGGCTGGGCTGAGAGGCCGTGAGGCCTGGGAGAGAATAGTTTGAGCTCCTGGCGTGGCCCATATTGCCCTGCAGCAGAAGGACCGAGTTCTGGTCTGGACTTTGGGGAGGTGAGAATTCCTCTTCTGAGCTGGACATGAGCGGCTTGCCCCCTTCCAGAGGAGAGAGTTGATTCTGCTTGTTGGAGGAGGAGTTATTGTTTTCGGTGTTCTCCCTAAGAAATAGAGGACAACACCATATGGTTAAAAAAAAAAAAAGTGTGAGAGGGGAGGGGAGCTAAAAGGAGGAAAGAGTCATTGTACAATCTGTCACCAACCCAAAAGGAGGAGCTTTGCCTTCTTACCCATCCCTAAGGGTCCTGGGGGAAGTGAGGAGACAGAAGAGAATGGAGAAATGGGGAGCTAAAGGAGATTCTGACGCTGGGATCTAGATCCCCTTCCAGATTTCGGAGAGTCAAACACTTAGTGTTTATTTGAAACAAACAAAAAAATGTGTTCTTAATTTTGTTCAAGCAGTAATGTTTAAATACCTATCAATTAGCACCATATTTCAAAGTAAGTTTGAAACTCTTCCAGCAAATGGTTGTTGGTGATAAAAGAAATGATCAGGTTTGGGATGAATCAAGTCAATTGCCTGTTTCCTTCTAAAGAAAGAATTAAACATCGAGTCTCCCTGTCCCTGCCCAGAGATTGTGGTTTCGGAGACACAGGACAGGTCATGGGAAGTGGTGTCCAGAGCGGCCCAGTGACCTGAGTAAACACAGGGAGCTCAGCCAGTCTCTCCGATTTCATCAGAGAGCGGGCCCTCGGGCCTGGCTTATAAGACGGCCGTTTTGTAACTAAAGGCTAACTGGAACCTTACGATGCCTGTTCCCGAGTTACTTGCTCACTCCTAAGCCCTTCACAGCCCCCTCGCAAACTCCCCACAAGCACCCACTCCAAACCTCCCTTTCGCCAAAGGGGAGTCGCCCGCCCCGCGGACTTCGAGCCGGGACCCGGCACCACGCGCCGGAGTGTCAGTCCGGGTACTAGATGCTGGTTAACTTCAAAATTTCGCCGCTTCCGCCTTTCGAGCGCTCGCGGTCTTCCCCACGCCTAACGCCCGCCTGCCATCCCCTTTCTTTCCCCTTCTCTCCTGGAGAGACCATTTCAGCAGAATTTATCCAGGTTCTACGGTTTTGCAAACAGAGGGGAAGGAGGAAGCGAGATCTTCAAACCGCAGGAGGAGCAGGCGAACAAAAGAAATCTAGCCGGCCCCTGCGCTCAGGTCTCCCCCAAACTCCTTGGCTTCGCGGAGCGCTCTCTCCCGCCACCGTCGCCTCCCCGGCGCTCTTCCGAATCTGTCAGAAACTCTACAGCGAACGGATGGAGGCTAGCCAGGTGGCCGAGGGTGTTGGCGCGAGGAAGAGGAGTCAGAGACGGGTTAAAAAAAAAAAAAAAATACTGCCTTCTGAGCTCCAGGGCGAGAAGTCAGCGACAAGGAGCCCCTTTCCTCGCCCAGGGCGGCGGTGCGGACAGCCAAAAGGACGGCCTCGGTGCCCGGCAGTACGGGAGAAAGCACCGCGAGCAGCAGTCCTTTCTGGGATTGGGGCGCCGGGGAGTAAAGGAAGAGACAACTCTCCCAAAAGCTCTCCTTTCTGTGTGTTTCTTTTCGATTCTTTTGTCCTGTCAATGCGGAATGAAACGTGCGACCTCTCAGCCAAAAGACTACCAGGAGACAGCGAGTGAAGAACCGCGCGCTAGTGGGGGCAGAGCAGAAGTCTCAGGGCCAGCTTCACCCGAGAGCAAAAGGAGAGAGGTTCGTGACCCTCAGCCCCCACCGAACCGCTTTCCTCGCGATACCAATGAGCAACTTCTCTTCCCGCTGATCTAAAAACTCTCTCCACCCCCCACTCCTCGCCGCAGCCAGCCAAGGAGGCAGGAAAAACAAATCTAGCGCCAATATTTCCCGACACTCACACCCCAAAGAAACCCACTCGCGGCGCTCAAAGCAAACGAGGCCCCCATCCCTAGCAGACAACCTCAGAGTTCATGAACTTTCTCTGCTGTGGCGCGGAGGCCCGGGCGCCGCCCGGCGGATGAGCTCGGAGCAGTGGGGAGAGCTAGGTGGCAGCTGCCTGCGGGGGCGGAAAGGGGCGGAGGGGTAAGAAAGACCGCCCGGGGTCGCGCGAGCCTCAGGAAGCACACAGCGTACCTTTCCTTGGCCTCGGCGGCCCGGTCTCTTTGCCTCCGGTTCTTAAACCAATTGCTGACCTGGGTGGTGGTGAGGCCCGTGGCCTCGGCCAGCTCCCGTTTCTCTCGAGGCGAGGGGTAGGGGTTGTGCGCATACCACTCCCGCAGCACTCCCCGAGACTTCTCCTTGAAGCAGTAGCTGGTCTCTTCGCCGTCCCAGATGGTGCGCGGCAGTGGAAATTTTCGGCGCACCCGGTATTTGCCCACGGCGCCCAGGGGTCGGCCGCGAAGCTTCTCGGCTTCCACATAGTGCGCTTTCAGCCACAGTTGCTGCAGTTTGGGGTGGTTGTGAGGCGAGAACTGGTGGCTCTCCAGGATCTTGTAGAGCTCGCGGAAGTTGCCGCGGTGGAAGGCAACTACAGCCTTGGCCTTGAGCACGCTCTCGTTCTTGTGCAGGTGGTCGCAGGCAGGCAGTGACCACAAGAACCTGCCCAGGCGCTCCAGGTTCCCGCCTTGCTGCAGAACCTCGCACACGCACGCCACTTGCTCCTGCGTAAAACCAAACGACGGCAGCATCGACATGACTGGGGCCTGCCGAGGCGCACCGCCCAGGAGCACGCTGCAGGGAGCACAGCCGAAAAAGCGGGGGGCGGCGGCCTCAGGGAGGGGGGCGCGGCTGCTCCTAACCCCCTCCCTAGGCTTTGCGTAGTCGAAACAGCGAGTTGGAACTTGGGCTGGGCTGCCAAAGAAGAGGAGAAGGAAAAGTGTGGGTAGGGTGCGCTGGACACGGAGAGACCCGCGCACTCCACAGCCTTTTCGGGCCTCGCTGGCTCCGGCCTGCCGCCGGGTGGATGCTGCTAGTAGCCGGGGAACTTGGTTTCTGTTCTCCTTGCAGCAGCCTTAAAGCGCGCAGCGTCCTCGGCACGCTGATTGGCTGCGGGCGGCGCCTATCCGAGGCTGGCCAGACTGCGCGCCGCCCGGCTGGGCAGCAAGGCCGCGCCGCCCAGCGCGGGGAGGGCGAGGCTGCGGAGCTGGGGGTAGGGAATAGTGGGAGGAGAAGGGCTAGGGAGAGGTGGGAAGCGAGGTGGGGTCGGGAGGAGAGAGCCGAGGTGCGGGGGGGGGGGTGGAGGAAGTGGGGGATGAGCGAGTCCGGACCCTGCAACGCGGGGCCCCCCCTCTCCAGTGTCAACTAAGGGGAGCCACGCGCATCTTTCTACACAAATCAACGACTCCAGATATTCTATTTCCTCTCCTCTCCCTCGGCACTCTCGTCTCTGTCTCTTTCAGACTTGCCCTTTCCCGGTGAGCTCATATTTAATTACCTTAATGTAGGAATGAATAAATAATGGATTGATGAATAGCTTATGGAACGCGATAAATAATACAAAAGCAGACCAGGGCTCTGGGTTGCAGGCGCTGGTAGAGTGGCTTCTCTCTGGGTTGGCTTCAGCTCCAAGAGCCAAATCTAATTTCCTCCCAGCCCCCAACCTTCAGCACCCTCCAAAGGGCACAAGTACTCTGAGCTGGATAACATTTCCCTGATTCTCAAAGGGTCGCCACGATTTAGAATCAGGCGAAAAGCTGTTTAGAGCATAGTTGTTGAGAATATAGCGACACAAAGATTCATTTGCTTTTTGGTATCTTGACCTTTCAATTTGGCTTAAATTGACAGCCTCCTAGACTCAGTTTCCCCATCCGCAAGGTTGCGTTTTCCAATGCCACCTCTGCTGCTAGGAAATGCCGAGAAGCTTTACTTGTCATTAGCAAAAATGCTTTGGGAACCTCCTTCCGAAGGTGCTGGATGGGGTGTAAATTAAATAAAACTGAGCCCAGCTCCAGTAACCTCCGGTTGTAACATAATCCTTGCCCTGCTCTGAGAGGGACACTGCCCTCAAAACTAGAAGGACAGTGGCTCCAAGATTAAATAAAGAGGTGTGTGTGTGTGTGTGTGTGTGTGTGTGTGTGCGCGCGCGCGCGCGCACCCGTACATTGCAATGCTTGCCTATTTTGCTGCCAGAGAATGAGAGAGGTCCTGTAATTTAAGTCCCATCATCTGCTATTTTGTTTATGTGTGGAGAATACTTAGCAAAACTGCACAAACAAATGAAGCTGTAATTATCTTAAGCCTCATTTGCACACCTTGTTCCGAAGCAATTATTAAAATGATTTTGAAGACAATTAGCCTCTATAAACAAAGATAATCTATTGTCAGTAGCTGAGACTGGCAGGAGATAAGAACAATGTGTAGAGATAAGGAAAGCCAAAAGGTGGAAGGAGAGTGACTTTATGACTACACTTATCTCTGATTAGATAAGTTCAAAACAGAATTTTAAGTACACTTCAAAAATGCTTTTGATTTCAATGCGCCCTCTTAGTGAATGGTGAAGAATAAACTTTAGGCTCTTTAAACTTGGTTGTCCTCTTTAAACATGTTTTGATTCCATCAGCTAAAGAGCACAGCACCACAGAAGCTTTTACATATTGAGATGTAAGTGGGAGAAGGAGAAAGGTGTGGGTGTCCAGTGTATTATTTATATGGTTTTAAAATAATGTACCTAGTCCAGTGCCCCTTGCAAGATAACATTTTAAATTCATAAAGAGTTCCCATCCCAAGGTTACCTCTCAGGAGACAGGAAGCTGCTTCTCTGTTGGGCTCCCACACAATGCTTTCTGCATCCTTGAAACTATGTGTCCCATGCACCTTTGAAACAGATGCTGATATTTCATTAAATTTGGGCTTATTCTTAAAATGCACTTCATGGGTCTGTATTATTTCAAAAGACCCCCTACCACATTGTGCGCCCAATGACTTACTTTCTTAACTAACACTGTTGAGTCCAAGGCCATGTGTCTGGTAATTTTCCCTCACTGTCTTATTTTAGTGCTCATGACGTTTCAGATGAAGTCTTAAGGAGCTGCAGTGTCCTGCCAAAAGGAATGCCTCCGCTTGGAACCGTCCTCATTGACATGGCAGCTGTGTGAGGACTGGAATGGGGGCTTTAACGGGTTTTAAAAATCAGTACCTTAAAGTCAGGAGCAAATGTGCACAATTAAAACGAGGGGTGAGGGTGTCGGTAGGCACAGTAACATCTCTTAAAAGACAAAGGGTATGTTGAGTACAGGGTGTGCTTTGCAACTGAGTTTTCTCTAAGGATATAAGGCATAGCTTAAACGCATACGGGCAAGCATAAATTTACAAGGATCACAAGAGAGCAGAGAGATGGCAATTAGACACCAATAAGGACCACCTTTTTTCGGCTTTTTCCAGACCTCCCTGCCCACTTCTTTTCATCTGTCTTCAAAAGGAACCGGGATGTACTAACCCAGATGTTAATGACAACTGGGAAGATGACTGTGTGGGTGCTGTGATTGCAGGCGCTGAGAGAGGTGCTTGTCCTCAGAGGCCTGGTGCTCGGGTCCGCCAGCCTTTACCCTCCGGTTTAATCCAGTAGATCGCATAACTATAAAGAAAAAGTTATGCGCTTTGTACCAAAGAGCCTACCTGCTATTTCGATCCCTTGGTTAAAAGGAACCAATTGTTATAAATGTTAATTATTGGCTCGGATATATAAGGTTTCCCAAAATGGAGCCTTTCACTGAAAACCACTAAAAGAGGTAAAATGACATGAATTTACAAACCACATAAACCAAATGATCCATTTTAAATAGCACACAGAAAGGTTTGAGTTGTTCTGTAACATAAAACCTTTGCTGTCAATGCAAATCGCATGAAAAACAGAGATGCGTCAGAGATTTAAAGGGAACGGAGCAACTGCTGCTAGCCTGCTGCTGCCGCCCTAGCCTCATCTGGGCTCCTAAGGGTAACACGGCTGGTGATCCGCACCCGTTGTCGGGTTTCGGCTCCTGTGTGCCTCTGCTGTGCCGGTAATTGTCCGGTGCAAGGAGCGGGTGGACCAAAAAGTCAATGCGAAAACATTAAAAGCTGCTGGGGTTTCTTAGCTGGGTTGGCATAAGGCCTTGGTTCAAAACCCTATAGTTGGGACGTACTTTTTCTCTTCTGGTTTGAAGCAAGATGCTTTAGGGTTTCTAGCCCGCTTACTTGGAATTCCTTCGCCATCGAGAACCAAGGCACGGATCCTACTCTACCTACAGATACCTGGAAGGGAAGGGCTTCGAGAGGTGTTTCTCCAGTAAATTAGCGACATCGCCCTGGGGCAGTGAGGAGACTCCCCAAGTCCGAGCTGAAGTAACAACATTCATCTTTTTCCTCTGCTTAGTCCGAAATTCCGGATGCCCTCGACCCCAGGGAACCCGAGCTCAGATGGCCCGCGCCGAGCGGGAGCAGCTGTCCACCTGCCTTCTGCGGGCCTCCGCTCCCCGCGAGATCTGAATAAGCCGAGGGCTCAGGCTGGGCGATTTGCGGACTCAGAGAAGAGAAACTCAAAACCAGTCCATTAGTAAATGAGTTTTGTGTTGTCAAGGTTCTTTCCCATCCACTTGCTGTTCTGAAAAATAGATCACGTTTCGTTATCTTTAGTGGGAATCTGCAACGTGACACCGGATCCGCGCGGCCCCTGCCTCCCTCCCTCCTTCCATCCCTCCCAACCTCACTCTGCCAGGCTGAGGAGAGCTGGCCGGCCTCCTCGGCTTATTTCAGAACAATGAGGATTTGTCTGTTCCCCTAATGTATTTATGTATGTATGGAGGGAGGGAGGGAGTTTTCTCCTGGAAGCGGGAAGCGCTTGAGCAGAGGTCCTGCTTCCTTAGTGCGAAAATGCTGGGCTGGCCCAAAATGCTGGCAGACCGCCGCCCCCTCCCACACCTGGACAAACAGAGCCAGCTGGGAGCCCTGCCTGCCAGTACAGCTTCTGAAAACGCCCTCTCCAGATTGTTCCGAGGTTGGGGAACTGGAGACAGACGGACACAGAAACCAGGAGCATAACACCTCTAAACACATAGACCCCAGCTCTGTTCCCATTCGATCTGAGCTCACGCACACAGACACCCCTGTCTTCTCTTGCCCAACCTCGACACACACAAATACACAGAGAACACAGCTTCGTGTTTGGAAGTGTTTATACTCTGTCTCCCTGTGTGTCTGTCTCATTCTTTCTGTCCTCTGGCTTAAAGAGGAAACCCGTGTGTTCTATCTGTATACGAACCAGTATCTCATTCTTTCATTCATTGTTCCTCTCTCCCTCTTTCTCATTTTATTCCTCCTCTTCTACTATCTTCCTCTCCCCTTCCCTCCTACTCCCCTTCCCCCTATTCTCTTCCCCTCTCTCTCCCTCCTTCCCTCTCCCTCTTGTTTCCCTCCTTTCTTCCCCCCCCCTTCTCTTCCCCTCCTCTACCCCTCCTTCCCCTCTCCTCCCCTTTCACTCCCTGTGGTTTTGGGTGCCTATTTCTTCTAGTCCGGGACTAGGCGCAGTGAAGTTTCACAGGCAAAGCTGCTTACGTCGCTCACAGAGGCAGCGCAGAGCCAAAAGACTCCTGCAAACGCTTCAGGCTCAGTGGGGACCTTTCACGTTGAGTGGGTGGCTCCGGCTACAGGTGGTGGGGGGTGTCTTGGGGACAACAGAAGAAGGTAGGCTTTCCCTTGAGGAGAAAAGGCTGACTTCAGCGGCGTTCTAAAAAGTCTCAGGCTCAGGGATTTGCCAATCGCCAGATTTAAACCAGAAAACCCCACCCAACATCAGATGACAAGCAAGCACCTTTTGGAAAGTGGAGCGATGATGCTACAAGAATCAGTTCTTAAGAATTTAAAACACACGGGCCCCCTTCTATCTTTAAATATCGCCTTAGGCAAGTTTACAAAATGAAACTCTCTGAGAGTGCTTATCTTCCATTGAATTTCCAATCAACTTTTTTACCCCCTTCAACTAATGTACATCCTGAATACCACATCTGTCTAAGCTAAGAAGAATTTCCTTTTGG